ACGGACAGCCAATCGGATCCTGCGGCTCAGAGTTGGTGAAGTTTTTTGGGTCTACCACTTGACTTTTTTGTTCCATAACCCTCAGGATCATTTAAAAAATGCTAAATGACTGTCTTACTGCGTCCAACTTCAGCAGCGATGGCACGTTGTGAGAGTCCTTGATTAATTCCCTGCTCAAAAGATCTTGTCTCTTGCACTGATTTCTTCTTTTAACATTGTGAAGCTCTACTTAGAACCTTCTTAAGATCCAATAGTGCAAAATGCAAATTCTTGCACTTCTTTGACTGGTCTTAAGATTTTGATCAGGAGTGTATTTGTTGTCAAAATACCTTTTAGTACATATGTTGTTAAAATAAAATGAACAGTCCAATGATCATTTTACTGATATGTATAAAGACTGCAAAGGCTGAAAAATCTTGAAGTCTGGATGAAATTGTAGGTAGTTTGAGGATTAAATTTTTTATGCTTTTTAAGCTCAAAAAAGAGGGGGGATCATATTATACACGAGATCGTATTATACACGAATAAATACGGTAGTTTTAATAATTTTAAGTATATTTAAATGCAAAATAAAAAAGTTAATGTGGTATTTTACTTTTGCTCGAGTACATCTTTGTTTATCTGTACTTTTACTTAAGTGAAGTGTTTGAGTACTTTCTCCATCACTGGCAGCAGGTGATATGCATTYCCAAAATCGTAAAGTAACTAAGTACAAATACTTTGTTACTGTGCTTAAGTAGAATTTTTGGGTATCTGTACTTTACTTGAATAATTATTTTTCATCATACTTTTTACTTTTACTTATTACATTTTTACACAATTATCTGTACTTTGTACTCACTACATTTTTAAAAAAGGTAAGAAGTAGAAAGTTGTCACTCCTATTTTATTCTGAGTTGTTATTACTTAAAAATACTATACTGACAAACTGTGTCTCCTATAGAGTGAATTTAATTGTGTTTGGATGAGAAGTATAAATATATACCATTCTGACACACTATTAGCTTGTACACAACCCATCACAGCTGCACGCTGTTAGAAAATATAKTTTTTGGAGAAGTCACCTCCCAATAAATGTCATTTTGGAAAATCTAACTGCTCACTTTTACTCAGTACTTTTACTTTTAATACTTAAGTAGATTTTGTGTCAGAAATTTACTTTTGATACTTAAGTACAACAAATATCAGATACTTTAAGACTTTTACTCAAGTAATATTTTTAGAGAAGACTTTAACTTTTACCAAAGTATTTTTATAAGATACTTGTACTTTTACTCAAGTATCACTTTGTGGTACTTTATACAACACTGTGCATTCCTTCAAAATGTGCAAAGGCTTTAATTTAAAAATGTAAACGGAGATAGTGTGGTTTAAACAAACAACAGATAATACTACTGAAAGAAATGGGAGTTATTCGGTTTCGTTTACTGGCTGTGTGCTTAACAATATGGAGAATGTGCAAATGCATGGAAAGAATTATTAACGGGTAACTATGCAAAACCAAAGAGTGCTCTTGGCTGACGTCTGGTTTTATTCAAGTCACCAGGAAATCAGGCTGAAATCAGGAAGTATTCAGTTTTAACAGAAAGCTTCAGGACATGGCTCCGTATATTTGATTACATCATCAGTGGAGGGAGTCCCTGTCATTCGGTCAAAGTCATGCCTTCAGACATCAAAAATCTACCTTAATGAAGAATTAAACATTCAGATATGTGTTGAATTTGTTTCTGGCATGTAGCTATTAATATAAAACCATCAAGTTAAGCAAAACAGTCACATTTGACAATCATACAGTTCTATCATAAGACTATACCATGTGTAGTGTAATTAAAATCAGTACAATTACCTAAAACCCAATAATTTCTTCACTACAATGAAAGAATAATTATCACATAAATGAAACCTAATCAAGGACGTCATCGTTATTTAAAGAGCCAAGACTGTGGCTCTTTAGAAATGTTATTTAGTTAGAAGAAAGGTTTAAATTGTGTAAAGGTTGAAGCTCGTGGTATTAATGGAAAGTGTTTTGTCTTTTCTTGCAGAGGGCAGATTTTCAACTATGGAAAACTTCACAAAACCTCATGAATTTGTCAAAAATTGCACCTTATCTGGAGAGGATGAAAAAGAAAGGGTGAAAGACTTTGTGTTCAACCATTTCAAAGAAGGACCACATAACAATGCAGAAGAATCTTGGAACGATCATGGGAGTTCAGCTAAGAAAGACAAACTAACTACCAAAGGTCGTGTTAAAATTCAGCAGCGAGCTGTTTTCTCTGGAAAAATTCTAAGTTTCGGATGCTCTGTGTGTAAAGACAGTTTAACATTTAGCCCTAATGATCTTCTTAAACATTTTCGAGCCGTCCATAAAGGAACTCTCCCTACGTACCCATGTGACTTGTGCGATTTTGTCACTAATGAGTTCCCAGTTCTTCAGCGCCATCGAATTGAGCACAGGAATACCCTGGTTACATGTGAGCTGTGCAATGATAACATCCAGTACTCTTTGCTCTTGCTTACCAGACATTACATGATGTGTCATAGTATAAATGGACTGTTCAAATGTGACTGGTGCGAGTTTACCACTGTTGATGCAGGAACCTTCGTCCAGCACATTCATCATCATAACGAGACTCCCTGGAAGTGTTTAAAGTGCAAACATATTAGCTTAAATGAAGAAGATCACCAGAATCATGCAATGGCTCACTCAGGTACATTCCCTTTCACATGTCAGATCTGTGGATATGGTGCAGCAAGAAGTGAGCTCCTTAAAAAACACACAGCCGTTGTTCACAAAGAGGAGGCTGAAATAATGAAGATTACAGAAGACGGTGGCTCATCACAGGAAACTCAGAGAGCGGCAAAACTAAACTGTCTTTCTGGTAATGTACCAAACCAAAATGGCAGAATAATCAACCATGAGCTGTCCTCAGAGGAAGCAGAGTTTCTGGACATGACTGTAGTCAAGAAGGATAATATGAATTTGAGCAGAAGTTTTCAGAACACCGAACCGTCAGGACCAGTTATGTTMCAGGAAGGTGATAATCCAAGCTCTGAAATGGAAAGTCACAATGCTAATGGACTCACTGTTCTGATGGTAAAGAACAAAATTTCTCTTCCTCCTAACTGTACAACAAAAGTGATGGGATTTAAAATGGTTGATGGCAAAAAACATTTGGTCCTCAAAGTCATACCAACAGCAAAGCAAGACTTGCCTGCTCATAACCACTCCACTGCTGACAGTGACAGCCCTTTGCTACCAAATCCTGTAACCGCTGAAAGTAAAGTACCAGCTGAGAACGGGCAGTCCTTTGACTGCAAAAGCTCAACTTCAGAATGCTTATCTGGTTCACCAAATATTCAAATGGATCACAGGAGTGTTCTAGCTGTAAAAGTGAAGATTGAGGAGGAGGAAACATCTGTGTGCAACCTTGATTCCACCCAACATGTGCACAATGTTGGCGAACAAACAAATGTGTTTCCAAAGARGTCTTCGACACGTGCCAGTACTGTATGTCCAGTGACAAATGAGCTGAATAACGTGGGCAACCAGAATCAGTTAGAGGAAAGAACAGGAGATGAAGGTGATAAAAGTCCTGTCACTTCAGCGTTTAAGTTGAATGAAACAAGCCATAGATCTAAAATCAGCAATGGTGCAACAGTGTGTGCAGATAATGTGACTAGTTTATCAAGCCTTGAGAACGGCAGAACCATTAATGAGTCGGCRCTGACTGATTGTAATGATGAAGTCAGCAAAGAAAAAAATGTTTCTAACATCATAGATGAGGACAAACCTCACTTGCCTTCTCAGGTTACTCCAGAAAGGAATGATAGTACTAACATTATAATTGACAAAGTAAATGGTCAGCAACACCTGAAGCCTCCATCTGTAGCGTTTTCAGGTAGCAGTAGTGCTGGAGCCTCTTCTACAGGAAAAAGCACACAAAATACACTAAGCCAAGAAGTGTTTAGTTTTCACAACTATTCCAAGGAGACATTCAGCGCCTCACCTAGCATTAACCAGAACTCAGACAGTGATTCGTATTACTCAGGATACAAAGAAACCACTGGTGAACCATCCCAGTTTAGTCTGACACTGGAAGAGTCTCCAGTACACTTGGCAGAAAGCTCATGTGGTGAAGTTGAGGTTGATGAGTGCATAACGAGCATTGACCAGTTTTCGACTGAGGAAAATCCAGATTCAATACTTCAAAATTTCAATATCATCAAAGTTGAGGAGGATAGCATTCCCATTTCATCACAGCTGCCAGAAACAAAAAGTAACTCGACTTCCGTTGGAAATTTGATGAAAGAGCATTCAACTGTTACTCAGCTGAACAAAGAAAGACCAGCACCTTCAAGCGCAAGCACTGATTCTTTAAAACAAACAACAAATACTCCGCTATTTTTTCATTTGCCTGAAGGTAAGCAGCCAGTCATCCTGAAGGCTGCTGAGAAGAAATTTGCCATGCCAGTGCAAGTCAAGGCTGCACCAGGTTTCAAACTCATAACCACCTCTTCAGATCCTCGCATTAATTTGTCGTACCTGAAACGGGGGGTTGACAAATCTAGTAAAACCCCTGGCGTAACTCTTTCCCCAAACACCAAAATTATTAGTATACCGTCCGCAAAGCCACTGTCCGCAGGAAACAGGACAACTGTGTTTTCTGCTGCTCAGCCAGGCGTTAGCGCCACCCCAAGTCATTACTTGATCAACAGTCAAGGCTTCACTGGACCTGTGATCCTTTCGAGCGCTCTGCAAAGTGCGTCAGCAGACAAAACAGCAAAAACACAACCCACGTGTTACTTGGTCCAAAGGTCTGTCCCGCTTGTTCAGAAACCCAGCATACCTGGTGTCAAACTGGGAAGCACTCAGCTCTCAGTGAAATCACAGCCAGTTCTGGCTGTGCCTGTTAACTCTGCAGGCAAATCCAACATCCCACAAGCCTTTTTGCTTCGATACATTTCTCCACCCAAATCAGAGTTATTTTTAAACAATCAAGAAGCAAAAACTGGAACTTTGCATAGTCAAACTAATGAAAGCTCTGGAAATAAAGTCATATTGAAGATCGTCACCCCCAGTGGTGGTCTTCTTTCAAGTGGAGCTTCACCCACARCCAACCAGCCTTTGTTCTTTACCACAAGTCCTCAAAAACAGTGTTTCCTGGTGTCACAAAAGAAAACAAATGCAACTGCTTCCAGTGGACTAAAGAATTTGATCAGTACACAAAATGATCCACAGACAAACGCCAAGAAATCTGATGTTTCTCTATTTTATGGAAAGCTACAACCATGTGAAGCAGAGAGACTTGTCCTAGCCCCAAGGCCAGTACGACCTCCAAGCCAGAGGAAAAGACGCAGAAAAGCATTGCTAGATGATYTTTCACCAACAGTTCATAAGGCACAAAGACTTTCAGGAAAGATTCCGACTGAAAAAGAGGTTGTGTTGTGGAAACCTGTTGCCAAGGCGGTGGAGAGGACACTGAGGCTGGCACCGTTCAGCTCAGGACAGCAGATCAAATGCCCTCGTCGATACCAGCCCGTTGTGGTGCTCAATCATCCTGATGCTGACATTCCTGAAGTGGCCAATATCATGAAGGCCGTCAACAAGTACAAAGGTGCTGTCTCAAAGGTCTCTCTTAGCCAAAAAACAGTCCAAGCACTCTCTGACTTTACCCATCTGGAAGTGAATTCCTCCACCAGGAGTGCATCATCTAATGACGACGATATAAGACCCAGAGCTCTTCAGAGTTCAGTCCAAGAGCGGTTCCTCCTGAAAATGAAACTGAGGAAAAAAAGCAAAAAGAAGTATAAGATAGTTAAAACTTCATCAGCTTGCGGGCGAGGCTCAGTGGTGTTTGACTGCTGGTTCTGTGGGCGACTTTTTAATAACCAAGAAGATTGGATTGGCCATGGCCAAAGGCATCTTATGGAGGCAACAAGAGACTGGAATAAACTGTTATGAAACTTTTTCACACCTTTCATACTCTGTTGGTTTAACTGTAACATTTCAAGATGTGTAGATTTTTAAATAACACTACATTATGTTTGCTTAGTGTTTCTGTAAATACATTTTAAGTAAATCATGGTTTGTTCTAAATGTCACAAATAGAGATAAATGATGTAGTGCAGGCTTGTTTTATGTCCTGCCAGCACATGCAAAACTGATCTGTGAAAATGGTACACTGTAAGTATGGGCTGGGGTTGGGAGCACTGGACAAATGAAAGGGAGCATTATCATTTGAGCTTGTATACAGAGTTGGATCAAATTACTCAGGTAATTTCATTGTAATTGTTTTATATTTTTAAAAAATCTATACTTTTACTGGAAGGATTTTTTAATTTTTTGTCTGACCAGAAACTATAAAAGTCGAAATAAAGTCTATTGTTTTACACTTGTAATCTAAAAATCCTTTGACCCAATTATCTTTTAATGCATTGATTATATTTAAGGTGACATGATGTTTTACTGCAGGCAAGATTAGCTGATAGTTGTCGACATGTTTCACAATAATTTATCTTGCCTGCAAAAAGGTCTTCTACCAAACTGAGTGTGTTGGTGTAGGTTCTCAGTCCAAAGTTGTCAAGTAAAAGACAAAAGTATTTTAAAGCAGAGAACTCTGGCTGCCATTAATTTATTGATTTAAGATTAACAAAATGAAAAAGTTATTTTACTAAAAATGTTTTTAACAAAAGCCCAGGCCCCCTCCCCTCACCCGGCTCCATTCCTTTATCATACATTGGAACTTTACATTTCCATTAGTTTTTATAAAAAAAATTAGCTTTAGAAATGAGCATCATCTCGCCATCCACATTCAAATGAACATACGTTCATTAAAACTGACGTCTGTATTTACCAGCTTTCTCTACAAATATAATCGTGCAAGTTAACATTTTCTAAGACCTGACGGTGTATCCTGGGCAGTAAACAGAAAATATCTTGCTTGTTGGAGACTGCTCATTAAACAGCCTGACTTTTGAGAAACTCGCCTTGTTTCTGAAAACTCATGTCTGAGTGGGACGTATCCTGCTCTGTTGGTGACCTATGAACGGTCAGATCACAAGTCACTAGCTGCGTTTCCATTGCAAATGTGCGCAAAACTTTGTTGATATTCTGTTAATGTCTAAAAAACAGTTTCACAACTGCGGTGTTTCCATGAAGTAAGAAATGTTATTAAAGTCACGTGAATACGTTTGTTCT